TATATTTGATAATAAATAATAAAAAAAGCGCCTTGGACTAATTGAGGGACAGAACTAGATTTGAACGTCTAGTTCTTAATATAATTATTGTATGTATGTGTGTGTGTGGGTGTGTTGAGCAGCATTTAAGGTGATAAAGGAATTATTTGATTCTCACTATTATATATATATCTCACACTCACATTAACACTAATTCAAAAAAAATTCGTGGGTTCCAGTCAATTTTATTGTTTATCATTTAAAATGTTACAAAAACGTTTCGGTGTTTTCCTCCACCATCATCAGTTTGTCTAAAATATGCAATCACAGTCGTTATTGGTTTAGAAGAAGAGCTCTGTTAAAATATATCTACTAAAATAGAAATTACAAACATATTAAAATGTATATTAAAATCGTTTGAATTTCTTGGGATTACAGGTGATGCGTCAGGACAACCATGTTCGGGAAAATACTAGAATTAATTGTTTAGAGATTTAAATTTTATTTACATGTATGGTTGTTTCCTCCACATTTGGCAAGCCATTGAAAAATCTTTACTTCGTTCAATATCGAGCAAAAGCATAAAAAAATAGAAAACTGTTTATAATATTTGACATTTTTCTTTGCATTCTGAGGATATCACTTGGTCTGCATTTCTTCAATATACTTACCAGGTGTTGTTATTTTATGTAGTTGGTTTAATTAGTGTATATAGGTGTTCATTTAATTAGTGTACGATATAAGTATAGCGCTAAGATTGTCTGTGTCTGATCAAAAATTCATTGCATTCTGATGTTTTTTAATTTGTATCATTTCATGGATGGATTCTTCTCTTATTATAATTGTCTTCATTGATTAATATTTTTGTGTTATCAAAATCAAAACTATGTAACATTTGTTGCGCATGTTGTGCTATGCTGTCCGATTTTCGTTAACCTTTCTTAAGCTATATTTACGTTCGTATATTCTTTTCTTTAAATATTGTCCTGTTTGACCTATGTATGTCACAGTCCAAACAGTCAATCACAAAATATCCCCCCTTAGGGAATGGGAGGGGGTATGTTCTGTGCAGTCAATCTTGTAAATTACATTAGGTGTGTTTAACTTATCACTTTTAGGCTTGAAAATTGAAGAAATGTAGACCAAGTGATATCCTCAGAATGCAAAGAAAAATGCCAAAACCAATCAGAGAGATCAATGATAAACAGTTTTTAAATTTTTTTATGCTTTCGCTCGATATTGGACGAAGTGAAGATTTTTCAATGGCTTGCCAAATGTGAAGGTAGAAACAACCATACATGTAAATAAAATTTAAATCTCTAAACAAAAAATTTTAGTCGTTTCCCGAACATGATTGTCCTGACTTATCACCTGTAATCCCAAGAGAATCGAACGATTTTAATATACTTTTTAATATGTTTGTAATTTGTATTTTAGTATGCATATTTTAACAAAGCTCTCCTTTTAAACTAATAACGACTGTGATTGTATATTTTAGACAAACTGATGATGGTGGAGAAAAACACCGAAACGTTTTTGTAACATTTTAAATGATAAACATAAAATTGACTGGAACCCAGGAATTTCTTTTGAATTAAGTTGAAATACAGTCAGGAAAATATACACAATTAACACTAATACAACGTAGGTATGTCTTTTATATTCAACATATTCTTGTCTAGACCTGTTAAGAAGTGTAGCAAGCGGTCTAAATAAGGGAGCATTTACTACGAAGCAGAATCAGACCATTATTCATTACAAATGAAGCAAATGCACTTTGTAAGAGAATCTGAGACTCATTGTCAGGATTTCGAGATCATCAGTAAAGTTTCTCAGGATTGAAATATTTCGATTCGTAATTATTTCTACGCTTTGCTAAGTGCTAGTAAACCTTCTAATTAACTTTCTACAGCAGACAACCTTTTATACTATTCAAATAATGACCGCTCTAAAACTGCCAATTTTTTTTTTGTGATTATCGCACATACTTTAGGGCGTAATAAAGAATTAGGTGGAATTCAAATCTGTTCTAAGGGAAAAACGTAAATTTACCATGAATTGATTTAAATTAATTAATTTTGTCCCAACTAATTGAAATTTCCTCCACACTGCTTGAGAGCTCCGCAGTGACATGTGACGCGGACACTGAACAAAGTTCATTTGTGCGACATCCAAAATGAGGTTAAGACGGGTAATTTGTTTTTAAAGTGAGTTTTCCCTAAAAATAGCGTTCCGGATTGTGTTTTCGTGGAAATTTGTCCGTAAAATCGATCACGACGATGGATGAATCAGAAACGCAACAGGTGGATGTGTTGAATAACAGCCAGGCCAGCAATGGCACTTCTGTGATTGTGCAGAATGTCAACTTATCATCTCAAGATGATGGTAAGCTGTGCTTTTGCCACCTTATTCTTGTCTCTGGCTTATTGTCTTTTCTGTGTTTTGCCTGATTTAATTACAATTAGTAAGTTTCTACCAGGACAACCAGTTTTGCATAGTGCAAGTTAACCTCTAACTTGACACGAACACTTGCTAGTAATGGGCATTCAAACGTAGATCTAACGTTGTTTTCAAATTACCCAAAACTCCAGCGAAGCAGGTTTAATCGGAAATGGCAAGCAAAGCTACAGACTATGCTGTTACATGTTGGTCAAGAATTTAATCAATTTATTATTACAAAAACAGGTATTTTTAAATACGATTGGAAAACTTCGCTGTATTTCAACAGCAATGATGAAATCCTTTATTTGCACAAGCGCTTATCAGCGCTGCATTATTAATATCAAGCAACTTGTGTAAATAAAATCACAAGATGCCATGTATTGTTTTATGTGTAGGCTATGATATCTAGGGTACTTATACACTTACTTTGATTAGCTGATAAGTTACTTGCCAGCAATGCCAATTCATAATTTTTACTATGCATACTCATGCATACAGTAATTTTTTCCATGTTTTTCACCCCAATTCATCTCATTTGGGCAAGGAGTGCACCAGTGCACAAGAATTTGCAATTTTAAAATCGCACCTTATTGCTTGTAACACATACAGGGTAGTTTGGTAAGTAGATGCATTTCTTGCAGGGGCCGGGTGATAGTGCAAGTAATTTTGGATATACAGTTGAGTCCGGATATAACGAACTTGAAAAATGAAATAAAACTGGTTCGTTATATCCGGAGTTCGCTATAAGCGAATAATAATACAAAAACACGTGATGTATTTTATTTCGTTATTTTTACATAGAGTAGTAGAAGTTAATAGGTATGCCTAAAAAGAACACAAAAAGATAAACAAAATTAAATTTGAAATCTACTTCATAAAGTCTGTAATTTTTGTTTGTACATTTCTGCTGCAAATATAGATGTTATTTATGTAGTTTTCAAGATCACAAAAGGACCAGATATGATTAGGAACTTGGCGTGATTGTAGAAAATTCCGAGTTTCTGACACTTTTTTTGTCATTTCAGAAATGGTTGGAACAGCATTAGTGT